CGACTTATCTGCTGTAAATCTCTTGAAATATCGAACTATCTGCTGTAGACCTCTTGAAATATCTTACTATCTGCTGTAGATCTCTTGAAATATCGAACTATCTGCTGTAGACCTCTTGAAATATCTTACTATCTGCTGAAGACCTCTTGAAATATCGAAGTATCTGCTGTAGACCTCTTGAAATATCTTACTATCTGCTGTAGACCTCTTGAAATATCAAACTATCAGCTGTAGACCTCTTGAAATATCAAACTATCTGCTGTAGACCTCTTGAAATATCGAAGTATCTGCTGTAGACATCTTGAAATATCGAACTATCTGCTGTAGACATCTTGAAACATCGAACTATCTGCTGTAGACCTCTTGAAATATCGAACTATCTGCTTGAATTTCGCGCACAGCTACGCGAGGGTTATCCGCGTTAGCTGTCCATAGTTTTGAAGTGGTAAAGAAAGAGAAGCAAGTCAACACCACCCACCGCCAACTATTGTCAGTCTGAATAGCAAATATGAACATGGCAATTTTCCATACATTTATTTAACCATAAATGTGGTTTTGTGTAATAAACTACATTTCTGAACATAAAGTCATGTTCGAACATTATTGAAACAGCTGCGATGCTCCTACAACTGTGTACAACTCATGTAAGCGTTATTGCACATTCTTCAGGAGAAAGATGTCTTTAAGCTATTAAAAACATCCTCTTTGAGCAAACAAGCCTAAAAAATATTTTTTTCAAATAATGAGTTTAATGGATACTGAATATTAGGCTTCCACCATTAAAAATAACTCGTATTTTAACAATTTTCACACATGACACAAATGTTTCTGAGCAGTATTATTTAAACTCATCTCTGGTTCAAACACTACTACAAAACGTCAACCCTACCTTGTCACATGAACTACTTAATGCTGTTTCTCTTCAGAATCTAACCCTCTTTTTTACTGCTTTACTTCATATTAATTCTTAAAGTAGTGATACTTGTATTAAAACATTTTCTATGTATGTACTTATGTTTAATAGTATCTTCGATAAAGTTGCTATCACTTATTAAGTCATGTTCTAAATATCTGTCCCTAGTTTCATCTTGCATCTAACCAGATACTTGAAAACTGAATTTTTTCATTATCATACAACTTTGAAGTAATTTTCTGATCAGAAAATACATAAGGTTTGAAGCTGCATTCTGAATAGAAAGATACAAAAGTGGATGTAATATGTTCCACAGTAATCTTTAATCCTTATAAAGTGTAGAAACAAAGATAAGCACAATGAACTTTCGAGAATGAAGGTATGTAATGTGTTATTAGAAATGGAAAATGCACAATTAATTAGAAGTCTTCAGTGTGAGTTATTATCTTACTATGTTTGACAGCAAATAATCAATAAAACAACTACTCCTTTTACCTACCCCCCCCCCTGTAATTACATCATTTTGATTTTCATTCATAAATATAAGGTTAAGGCTTTTAAAAATAACTTGATTTTAATTTTTGACATTTTGGAATAGATGTGTGGTCGTTCTTTTGTTGTAAGTTTTCAACTGAATTTCATCAAATGTTTTTAAGTAAGATTAATCCCACCATTTAACAAATTTTGAAAAACTGGTCAAGAAAGTAAGTTTCATTTATGTGTCGTTATACCTAATCTTCGTTAAAGTCAAAGTGAATTTGTAGTAACATAGAGCTCAAATACACCTCACTCGTTGCCAGAATTCTGGAAGTGACAAATGTAATGCGTTAAATGATAGTGGTTAAAGCCAAACACATACACACAGATTAAATTTTAGGTCTCGGGTCATCCTTGGCTTATAAAAAAAAAGGTTAGTAACAAGTGAATTAAGTTATTATTCCATTGTGAGTCTTGCTCATGTAACAAGTGAATCATGTTATTATTCCATTGTGAGTCTTGCTCATGTAACAAGTAAAAAAAAAAATGTCTGTTGCTTTAGCCACATTGGCATTTACTTAATTATTAGTTATTGAAATTAAGGTGAAATATCATTGAAAACACAAAATAACTGCATCCTCTATACGTATTGGCTAAGATCATCGAAATAATTTTCATAAAATATTTGAGAATTACATCTTTTGTGACATTACAGTATGATGACATTCAGATGAAAAGTATTGTGTACACGATGTGATTAATTAAATATTTGGAAATATGCAAGAGAAAAGTAAAGTTTTTGGTTTATTTGAATAATAGGGAGATTTAAAATTAATATCAAGGTTATTGAAGCAAACGCTTAAAGAAATGCAGAATGGAAAACAGTTTGTAAAGTGTAATTCAATGATGAATTGGTTGGTGAACATCAAAAGCAGAAAACTATAGAAATACACCATCTATTTTATGATCTTATAATACCACACTCATACACAAAAAACTTACTCATACCACATTTGTACTCAATGGTTTCTTAAAAGCTTACTTTATTCAGAGTACAGAAACCAAGTTACAAGAAAAGATGAAGCACAGCACAATGATTGTAACACGATAATGTGGGTGTTAAACATCACACAATGACAAAGTGCCAGTTTGCAAAGTAACCACGTTTACACACGGTACAACTTACTGTAAGTTACAGCAAGTTTCAAATCTACTCATGAGACGATTGGCATTTGGTGTGCAAAAAACTTTTAGTTTAGAACACATTTAAAACTATGATATTCTTGTTACACAAAAATGCAAGCTATATAGAAATATTCTCCACTTGAAATAATTGATTTAAAGAAATTTTAGGTGCTGATTTCTTTTATACATACATTTAACAGCCAAAAAAATTTATCACTAATAATCAACATATTTTACAATTTGAAATAAGAAAAGTTACATATGGATGAAATAGTCCAACACAATTCAAAACTGCATTTCCAAAACTAGGGAAAAAAATAAAAAAGATGGCTAAGAACAAAAGATAATTATATTTAGAAGATAAGCTCATAATACCTAAAATACACATATCAACTGATCTTAAAATCAAGCCCCACCTATAATAAATTATTTCTTTCCTAGTGAGTTAAGCCTCTTTACCAAAGTTCTCCTTACATATGTTATCTTTCTTTATATCAAAAATATGAAAGATAAAAACCTTTTTTTTTTTTTCACATCACTATATATCTCTAATTCTTGTAGATGGTGGATAAGCTGTGACACAGTTAATCCAAAAACAATCTAATAAAAAAGCCAGGATTAATTAACTTCATGTCAGAATTCACCATATATGAAAAGCAGTTTTTTGTCTTTCCAGTATTAAACTAAGTTTGATTTTAGTTTAGGCCAAAAATAAAACAAAAGACAATCTGTAAACATACTTCATGATCGCGACAAGTTTATTTGCTGGGTTTATAATTAATAGAAAAGTTTATTTTTAAGGGTTAATAAAGGTTTAAAATGAATAATAGTAATGACAGCAACATCTATCTCTAAGAGAAAGGCAGTTGAAACATGTAATTTAACTCTTGTCTCAGGTTAATTTTCTACTTAATATACACTTATTCGGGAAACCTTCTTGATTTAAAAGCCAACATACCATTTCATTTTAGAATCTTTAAAACTTGTATAGTTTCTACTCGTAGGATTATTTCGAGGCATACGAAATGAAAGCAAAACTGAGAGAAAATAATGAAAATAAAAACAGTCCCCAAACATATATTTAATGTACAAAACATTATCGTGCCATTCATTACACTACTATGAAAAATATTACTATTAATCAGGCACAGAAAGCCCTAAATTACAACACTAATAGAATTTCCTTTTCAGAAATACTCTATGTATAGTAGTAAGGATATGTCACAAAAAGAAAATATTTAAGTGCTTTCTTATGAACAGAAATGCACTAGATATATTTGATGCAATCGCCAAGCACTAATGGTTTATGTTATGAAAGCAGATGAACCCAAAATTATGGAACTTACTATAACAATCAGACGAACAAACATTCAGAAAACACAGGACACATGTGGTGATGAAACTGTACATGCCCTAGGGAATTTTTATCACCACTGTTATTAGAGAAAGAGGTCAAGATATGCTGACTAAATAAAAAGAAAGTCAGATCTCTAAATGTGGCTTACATTCATACACTTTAAGCCACAAAATTTTACTTGAGACTCAACTGTTATCTCTAATTTCTGGTAAAAACTTTGTATACAAAATCTTCACTTAATATATATCCATCAAACAAATATTTTCTTTCAATGTTCCAACTAACTCTTGCATAAAATTTCTGTAAAAGAGTTTGACCTTAGGTACACTTCACACAAGAATTGATGGCTCTTAAAACACATAAAAATAAAGGTTTTTTTTTTTGCTCTTCAGTTTAAATACAATAGTTCTGATATTTTTAATGACATCCATATCAAATTCTTAAAGATGTCTTATTCTGGCTGCTTACATAAATCCAATTCAGAACCACAGCAATTCAATAAACACTAATCAGGATACACTTCAGAAGTTTACCATCTCTTTTAGTTATAGCAGACACGTAATCATACTTCTCACACCAGTATTTACTAGCCAATCATCCTCCAGTAATCAAACTTAATTGTATGAGATGGACACCAGAGTAGTAAAAACCACCAATTCAACTGTACACCATGCTGTATGGGCCTCAAGGTAAAATCGATAAATCTACAAAGGACTGGGTCCCACGGTGCAGACCTTAATAGAATCACAGATTCCCTTCTTCAGTCAGTCCTTACTTTCTTGGAAGTCCTAAAACAAAGTAAATAGATAAAAGAAAATGAAGTGAAGAAATCTGTAAAGCTTTTTTTAATGTATAATCAAGGTGAATAATAAAATATTAAACATTAGTTTGTAGCAGAGTTCAACAGTACAATCAAGAAAACTTATTCAGACACAAGATTATATAAGTAATAAAATACGTATAGGAATGACAAAATAAGACTTATTCAATGGAACTGTAAAAGGATAGACTGTTTGTGTCTGTAGCTTGGCTGAAGCATGTAATTAACATCAATGGTAAAATAATAAAATAGGTTTACCTAAAAACAATGAAAAAAATGTGTCTATTAGATTTCTTCAAAAAATGCAACAACAAGTGACTAGTTGTATAGAAAAGTAATAAACCTATTTCAGGAAGTACATGAAACAGATTTAACCTACAGGAAGTCAGAAAAAAAGTTACAAACATAAAATATCACACTTTTTTTTTTTTTACTTACCCTTCTAATGAAGTGGCTGGCCTTTTGACAGCAACAGAGTTTCTCACTGCAGCAGGAGCACCATCTAAAGAAAGAGCTAAATCCTAAAAATGCTCGATAAACTTTTCCAGAATATTATATATATGTTTCATGGTAAAAGTATTTAAAAACTTGTGAACCAATTCAGTAACTGTCTCAATAATTTGTCATAAATATATTTTTCTACAAATCTATACTTTAGAGATGTCATATTTTGAAAATCTTCTGTTGAATAATGTTGTTGATAATGGGTCTTCTCCTGCAATATGTTAGTTCAAAATTACACAAACTTAATTAGGAATAAAGTTAGTAAACTTAACATCCTAGGGTAATTTTCTTTAGCTACAATTCCATCAATCATTGTGAGGGTGATGAAGTCTTGAATTTTTAATGATAACAACTGTCCTTTTTTTAAATACTGGAAACAGTTCTCATAACTGAATAAAATAACTGGAAAATTAGTTTCTTCCAATCTCTACAGAATCAAGCATTAGGATTGTTTAAAAAGCTAGTTATGAGCTCAACAATTGTTCAATCAGTAATAAATTACATAATTAATTAAAGATAAATAAAATTAGCAAACTAGATTAATCAACAATTTACTAAGTACAGGCAAATAATAATTCTTCCATAGAAAACACTACATATACTTCTTTTAGTGGTAATAACTTTTTCTTCATTTATTATTAAACACAAATTTATACACTAGCTATCTATGCTCTGACCACTGTATGTATCAAACTGCAAGTTTCAGCTTTATTAGCCTTTCAACTTACCACTGAATCATGGTGGGGGTGGGGGGTGCATAATAATACAGAAGAAGAATTTTTAAATTCTCCAGTTACCTAAATCAACAATTTACTAAGTAGAGATAAATAAAAATTGCTGACTAAATTTATCAATCCATTTGTATACAGTGTAATTGAATATCCAAGTTAAAAACAGAGTACTTCACAACTACACAGACATGCAAAAGCAGGAAAAGTTCAAATGGATTGGTCTTGATGAAAGAGACCCAAACTTGACCGAGTCAGTTGTAATACTGCAATGAGAATCACTGTATTCGACTGCATGTATTGGTGAGTGTTTCACAACCACTGATCAAAATCACAACACAACAGTTGCTAGATCTCTTGGTGAAAACATTCTTGAGGATGAAGGTATTTTCATACAGTAGTACATACCAATAGTGACTTAGGAAAATTTCCTTCTGAATTGTAGATAATATATTTCTTCTTCAATGTTTCAATACTTTATATATATATATATATATATATATAGTGTGTGTGTGTGTGTGTGTGTGTGTGTGTGTGTGTGTGTAAAATATTGAAACATTACAATTCAGAAGTATACATATATATATATTTCTCTAACTATGCTTCTAACACAATTATAAAGATGGATCACTTACATCCATTACAACAATAAAAAAATAAAATAAATCAGTGGTACAGTTACAAATGTTATTAGCTACTATATATAGCATATCATCACTAAGAATTTAAAAGTACTTCTGTAGTATTATTATTCTGGCATAAAACTTGTTACTACAAAAGAAAAAAACACAAAGTGGAAAAAGGATAGTGCTATTTATGCTGCTAATGATAAAGTTTGTTTATATTTATAGTATGTTTCTGAATTCAAACTTTCAAAGTATAAGTAATAAAAATATACATGGCGGTTCCAGTTATATTTCTCTTCTTGGTGAGGTTGTAGTTGTATTATTATTATTATTTTTTATATTAAGTCATAATAGTATACACCACTTCATTACATTTCTTTAATAACTTCAAACCAGAAATACATATTTTAATCTTTTTAACAATGTAATAAATCCTGCTCCCAATTTTTCTTAAAAAAAATAAACTGAACAGCAACGACTTCCTACTGATTTTGAACTCCTAAGAATTAAAAATGTAAAAACTGCAATAAGGCAGACTTATTTCTCTTGTTTAACTCTCTCACTTGGATAAGTGATTTTGCTCAAATATTATTTTTTATTGGACTTTCTGGCAAGTAGTTCTAATGACAAGTTGCTAAAATTTTTTTCTCAACATATAAAAAAAAAGTTTTGAGTGAATAATGATAATGACAGGTTGTCTCAACAATACATTATATTACTCGTCTTTAAAGCAAAGCATTCTTATAACAACAGTGTAGTTAGTCTCAATTTCATATTTTATTCTGATCTGTTTTTACAGTATTATAAAGATTGTAATAAAATTAAGTAATAATTTGTTACTGACTATGAGCGATTGGTGTATCCCAAATAGGCACCCTTGGGCAGGAAAATGATAAATATAAAAGCTAATTTAGTTTGATTTTATTAGTTAAAAACAGTTTAATTTTCTTTGCATTCTGTATAACATTTTTATAATATATAATTAATATGTTTAAAAAATTATACATTCAATTAAAACAATTGTTGAGATTGATCTATCTTTTGTTCCTCAGGGTAACTCACCTTGTAACCACCTGACCTGTGTGGCAGGACCATAACCTTTTTCATTGCGAGCAGCTATCCTAAAGATAATGGCAGGTTTCATGGTTGTATCCACATGGGCAGAGGCCAAGCTGTTGTTGTTTACCGTACATGTAGCCTTAGGGCCACAATAAACTCTTACAAAGGCAAGTTGTGAAGGGTTAGATGTCACTGTGGTCTTAGCTCCATCCCCCTGTCCACCTGTAGTGGCTGACCTCACAGCAAGGTAAACAGAGTACTCAGTAATTTCTCCTGATGTATTTTGTGGAGCTTCCCATGACAAGTGTGCTCCATCTGCCCCCTAAAACATAAAATAGTTTAAATTGAATCTTATTGCAAGCTTCTAGAATATCTACACCTATCAAACAGGAAATGATGTATACTTCTTTTGGTTCTTATAGAACAGAATCTTACATTATCTTAACTACTAAAAGATAAGCATACTCATGCTTTATGCCCCTTAATAAAGAAATCATTAACGTATGGTTTGACTGGTTCTTATGCGAAGAGGCTTTTACTATCAACTAGATGAATAAATCACATTTTAGCTATACAATCTCTCTCTCTCAAAGAACTCGTGTAACTTATCTGTACTTAATTATTGTGAAAATAAACAAACTGTTTTTTAACAGGCTATTAATTTTAACACCTGAAGGAAAGATGTTGAGTATAATATAACAGCAACTATCTATCTTAGAAGATTTTAAAAAATCCAAGCACACATTGTCACACATATACTACACACACACATACATGTAAATTTTGGGTACAAACTTTGGTAAAGTTTATCCTAGCAGGTGAGCTGTATGCAGAAATAGGACCCACAGAGGAATTGTGATAAACCATATACCAGATTTAATCTAAACACCCAAGTGAAAATTAATCTAGAATGAAAAATTAGTAGTTATAGATGTTAAACCCACATTGCTCCACTTCTCAAACCACATTTTACTGACTGCAACCAGTTGTATAAAAATAGTTGCTCCTCATGAAACACAAGTTCAACTAAATATAATAATTAACAGGAATAAAAAATAGGTCACCAAATACACATCACAATACCATAGTGGGTGGATATGATCAGTAAGTGTGTTCAAGTATACTCTTTAATGTTATTTACTGTTTTAAAAGAATCAAAAGTCTCATTCACTATCACAAGAACATTCCCTGTGCTATAACACTATATATATATATCTCCCGTAGTTGGAACAACTTAAATAAACAGTCAAGTGCCCATACAGATTTCTCTGTTTTTTTTAAGCACTACACAATCAAACACATACCCTAAAAACAGTAATGGTTGTGTGATATTAAATATTAAAAATGATAGTAGTTTACATTACACCACTCTTCACTGGCCCAAATGGATTTCCAGTAAGAAAGTATCCAATACTACTCCAACTATAGTTTATTTGTTGTACGTCACTGCCAATGAGGCTTTTCATTCAATGGTTAAGCTCATAATACCAGCTGGATTATAACATACATGAGTCACTTATGGGACAACAAACTTTGGGTTGCAAAGTGTCCTAACTAATGGCAGGTGACATTTAGTAACAACTGTGTGATTTACATCATATATGGAATGACAATAATTTGTGTTACATTATTCTTTATTGTCCAAGTAAGTGTTTATAGTAAGGAGAGTGTACAACAGAATTTCAACTATACCTTGCCTGTTGTATGCTGTTGCCAATAAAAACTTTCACTCAATTCCAGACTTCATCAAATTATGACATGAAAAGTCATGGTTGAAACACTATTTTTGCATTTATCATAATGCTTTATTAGTTTGGTACAACTGTTGAAGCGCTGAATATAGCAGTTAGAAATTGTGTTCACCTATTCACTGACTAAGCAGATAGTTCAGATTAATTCCCAACTACAGAGGTTCTAGCAAACACAATGAACACTTTATTACATCAATAAGATGACATAAAGCACAAAACACTTCAAGTACCATGTTGAAGATAGAAAACATTATGAATAATAAAAAAGTTACATTAAATTCAATTGCAATATACAGGAATAGCTTGACAGTACCGGAATGTACACAGCCAAGTGACCATCTTTGGTCACTCCAAGCCTCTGGAGGTTTCACTTAGGTTGGTGGGAATAGCATGCACAAGCTACATTTTCAGATTTACTGAGACACAAATGAGAAATATATATGGCACATAGTGTTTCTGTGACATAATACTCTAGAACCAGATACACTTTCCTCTATATGTTATTTGGTGTGTGACAAAGAATGAAAACAAATGATCCTATAAGAATCACATGGAGTGTAACAGTCACTGTGATGTAATACCTACCTATATATGTTAGTAGTATATGTCATGTTCCTTCAATTAAGGTGTTCTATGCTAAGTCAGCTTTAACATGTCTTACAAACTATTCTTGTGAAAATAAACTTCTGAATCATCCACTAAGTGGCTATCTATTAGAGTAAAATAACATACACTATTGCAATTTATACATATATTAAGTATAGCTCAAGTTTTATCTAAGTTATGTTCTGTTTGAATCTAATAATCGTATACTGTGGACATTAGCTGAAGGTAAAGGTGGGTTAAATTTTTTTAAATTAATGTAATTACTAATACGAAACCAACCTTAAAATAATTGGATAGAAAAGAAGATAATCTACATTTATATACCTTAATAATGGTTTCCTATTACCATCACCTATTGGCCCATTTTATTGGCATAATACTTTAATGGTTTCATTTGTTAGTCTATTATAATATATATATATATATATATATAAAAATCAGGCTCAGGAAGTTACCTTAATTTTTTATGCTTTTCTCTCTAAGGTTAAAGATAGTTATTTTCTTACATGGACATTTAAAGAAAATCTTCTAACATAGTATATTCATAATAAACTTTATGTAAAGTTATTCGACAGTAATAAAATAACACCTCATAAAAAGTCGACAATAACATAAACATGGAATAGTTTATTGTGATTCTGTTGGATCAAATACTAATGAGACTCTTAAAGAAGTAAACTGCATTAATTTACACTTCTCAACAATTCACAAATGCATGATTTTATCATAATAAGATGATCACCACATTGTATACCTTGCTGATTTTTATCGCAGAGGGAGCTCCAGGAAAACCTGGTAAGCATGTTTTAAAGGCTGAAATTTCACTCCAAGGACCACGACCACATGCATTAATGGCAGCTACACGAAATTTGTAGGCTGTTCCTGGAAGCAATTCTTGTTTCTTGAGCATAGAGTGATTGGGAACTGACACCACATCAATGTCCTGCAAATACAAACCACCATCATAATTACTGTATAAAGCTTGTAGACAAAAAGAATGCCATACAGCTTCCACATGAAATAATGTTAACTGACAGATAACACAGTCAACATCATGTATAACAAATCATACTAATCATTATAAAGTAATAGAAATCAGCACATTTTCATGGAACTAGTTGTAAACATAAAGTTTATCACATAAACAAGTTAGTATAAGATAATAAAAACATCTCTGTTCATAACTATAAAACTGTAAACATAAAAGCATTAAATATCTCATTATACATAGATCAACTATGCACAAACTACAACACATAAACATAATGCACAAAACAAAGGAACTAGATATTTAAATATTTTAGCTACGATAAGGCAAGACTCATCATTATAAAATAGTGTCTTTCATATATTGTTTATACAAATTAGGTATATGACGATATGTCGTGTGATGTGAAATGTAAATAAATCAAGATTTGACAAATGTTATTTTAAACCTTTAACTTTCACTTGAATATGAAACACGGTTGCCATGAACAAGAGCAGCCTGAAGTAGATACTCAAAATAACAATATGATGAAGCCGTGACATTCTGCTAACAAATAACACTCACAGCCAATTTCTACGTTGTATGTGATTTACCAGTCTATTTATCTAATAGATTTCAACAAGTAAAACATCAAAATATCTTTGATGACAAGGAACCCACTTTGAGACTAATAATGCTTGGAGACAGCTTGAATGGGTAATGAAGAAAAACTTTAATATAAGTTTAACATAACAGCAAATGTATAACATTTTGACCAGGTTTTGTCATCATCACCTGATCAGTGATTGACATTATAACAGTGGTTTTGCCATTCCATAACTATATTACTACAAATTCCATTTATCTTTTGTTTTGTGCAGTGTATAACAACTAGAGTTAACAAACATGAAACAAAAGAACAATTATCAACAACTCAATTATATTCCACCAAATATATCTTTACATACAACATTACTACCTTCTATGTAATATAATGTCAAACGTAATCATAAACAGCTTTGTCTTTACATACAACAAAATTAGAGACAATCAAAAAACTACTTTTACTCAAGTAAATTTCCAAGACCACAAAATATTACTGCTTTAGTTAAGCTTAATGAGCTGATCTTAAGATACTATAACATGGGGCATTTTATCAACTTGGCAAAATTGTTACCTACGTACCTTCACTACTCGGAAGCTTTGATCAACACAAGCACTGGTCAATAACAAAAATTAGATTACACATTCATTTGCAACAGAAACTCTTGAAATAGGCTCTATGTAACTAGAAAAGTTTTTTACAGATATTTAGCTAAATGTGGCAGAAAGAAAGTCAGCTGGAACCTTGCAAAATATCACATATATTGAATAGCAGTGTAAGTCTATGAAAGAACAATTTTCAACCTTTCATTTTAAGAAATATTTTTCTATAATATATTTACTGGTTATTTTAAATATTGGTTCAGGATATTCATCAAATATTAAAACTAAATCTAACTACTGTATAACTGAACAAACTATCACACTCATTTTTACTGTTAATAAACAACTCACATCTTCTTTTCTCTCAGACTGTTCAGAGGGTAGGAAAAAATGGGTAACTTGTGCAGAATTCCCTTTGAAGAATCCAACATCATACCAATGACTGTCTCTTTTTATCGCAATTTTTGGAGTTACTTCAGATATTGGGATGCCCTGTCGTGCAAAAAACATACAAAGCAATGAAAATGGTGAATTTGAGATGGAGATTTTAGTTTATATTTAGAATAAATGTTAGTTTGTTGTCAAGTGCAAAGTTATGCAATGGGCTATACATGTGTTTAGCCCACCAAATGTATCAAAACTTAAGTTTTTGGCACATTTGTCCTCAAACTTATCACTGAGAAATTGGGGGGTCTATATAATATATTTGAATTTCTTTTTTTAGCTTCCATGTTTAATTAAACTTTCAACTCTCAATGCTAATGTGGCTGAAAGTAAGTTAACTTATTTAACCACATTTGTTGTTGTTTTTTAAAGGAGAAGCCTCATGGCTACTATGTTGAGTAAAACACATAAAACAGCTCAACTACAAAATTGTAAAGCAAAATCTTTTATCACTTGAAAGACATTACAAAAAAACAATAAACCTAGCTTTTATCCCTATAAAACAAGCCAATACTTAAAACATACTCAAAAAGACTTGTTAAAGATTTCTTTAATGATTCCCTAATCACGGTTGTAGGCTTAGAAATTAACTGTAAATATTTCAAAAATTAAGCCTGATTTTTCAGTAAACTAATTTAATTTTTTTCTGTAAAATACTTACGTTTTCAATTCACACTAAAGAAACAAATGTCTTTTCAAGATTAAGAGTGATTAGCTAGTCCAACTAAAATGTCCCAAAATTATTTCAAACAATGCTTAGAGTAGATTTATAGGCTATAGCCATTTAAAAACATTTCTTTAGAAGGAAAAAAATCTTCAAGTTATAATTTTCTCACACCAAATAACCATTTCATTTTATCTTCATTTAAATACATTAAAGTCAATTCATATACAAGGTAAGGGGGGGGGGGGGGAGAAGAAAGAGGCAACTGCTCAGGAGCCCAGTCGAATGAAACCTAGTTATGCCA